ACCAACAAATTGCCACCCAAGAACAAATACAAAAAGCATTGGAGGCTCAAAGCCAGGAGTTTAACAGGAAACTTCTCGAAATGCAACACATGTTTCTTTCGGGGTGAGGAAGTTCATCGAATAGTAAGGTATGTCGTGAAATTAGTTTCTTCATGTTATGGTTATGTGCTCAAGTGTTAAAACTTTACGTACGTTTTGAGAGTATATCTTTTAGACTATGTTTGTCTGAAATATGATATGATTTACGTATGATATTGAGTATGTCTGATTTTCTTTGGAATATATCATACCTTTGGAGTATGTCTAAGTTTATCTGGAACTCTGTTTTGGAATGTTTGGTTGGAGAGTAAAAGAGTTTGTGACGTTCGTGACATTAGGGGGGGGGAGGTTGGATAAGATTTAATAAGTGTTCTAATTTAAATGGTTGATCTCGTGTGATTTTTAGGAGAGGAAGATATGGGTGGGTGTTATGCGTTTATGGGTGTGTATTGAGTATGTATGCTTTTCTTTGGAATATATTTTACCTTTGGAATATGTCTGAGTTTATCTGAAGCTTTGTTTTGAAACGTTTGGTTGGAGTGGAAATAAGTTTGTGACGTTCGTGACATCGGGGGAGGGAATAAGTTTTAAAAAGTGTTCTAAATTCAATTGTTGATCTCATGTGATAATTTTTTTGGGAGGAAGATATGAGTTAGTGATTATTATGCCTTTATGTGTTTGATATTGTGACATTGGGTTATGATTTTTTCTTTTTGGTATCGTGACATTGGGTTATGATTTTTTCTTTTTGGTATTGTGACATTGGATGGGTATATGTGACATTGGGTTATAAGTTTATGTGTTTGGTATTGTAACAAAAAGGGGCGGGTTTGTGGCATTTGATGTATTTGGTATTTATTATGCATTTCGTTGTTGTTTTACTATCATGTTAGTTAGTTTAGTTTATTGGTTTGATTTTATTTATTCATGTAGAATCTACTTTTATACTTATACTACAAAAATAATTGATACAATTCTTTGTGCAGGATTGATGCTACAAGGATGGTGGAGGCTTGGACGTTCGAGAGGATTATTTAGTTAGATGCTTGACGGTATTTTTATTTTGTACTCTAATTTTATAATGAATTTTATTTTTACACACTTTGCAATGTTATGAATGATACAATTGTTCAAAGATATTTGCTATATTTTTAAAATTTAGCAAAAAATTTTAAGGTCAAATTTTGTTATTATGGAAAAAGTATTAAACAAATTTCGGATGAGAAATGAAGAAAACAATGAAATGCATTGTTTTGGTCGTGAAAATTTAGGATTGAAATATTAAAATATTTGTATGAAAATCGTGAAAATTTAGGATTGAAATTTAGGATTGAAATTAGGAAAGAAGAAAACAATGAAATAATATTATTAATACAAAAAAAGCGACGAAACGTTTTGGTCGCTTTACTAGCGACGAAATTTCGTCGCCTACCAAGAGAGGGAGCGACGAAACCCTGCTTTCGTCGCTTCGCTGGCGACAAAAAACGTTTCGTCGCTCTTTTAGCGACGAAATGAAAACGTCGCTTAGGCGACATTTTACTGTTTCGTCGCTACAAGCGGACACGGAATCAGCGACGAAATGGACTACGAATTTAGGCTACATCGACTAAAAATTTTCGTCGCTGAATGTCTAGAATTTTGTTGTGATAGATAAGATATTTTATTTTTAAATATAATAGAAACTTTGAAATTATAAAAAAAATTCTAATTCCGTATAAAAAAAGTTACATTTATTTATATTTAGATTAGGTAAAAAGTTGTGATCACTGCGTACGTGCAGATTGTGAAAGGGAAGGAGCAAAGGGACCTTGGCATCTTCCATGGTCCGATGTAAGGCGGTGTCCATAAATAATAAAAGTATGTTTAATTATATATAATATAGCTTATGTCGTTTTATGCTTAATTCGGATGTCGTTTCTGTTCTACTATTGCTATTATTCGTCTGTTCTCTTCACGTCTCCATTTTTGAATGAAATTTCGCCAGTGCAGCTGTTTTGGTTACTTTGTTTCTGCAATTTACAGAGTTCAAATTATTTGTAACCGGAAGGAAATGTTGGCAAAAGTAAAATAGCAAAATAATAACGATGACGAAAATACATGGTTTTGCGAGGGCTAATCTTGTAATGTCCACCCTTAAATATTGGTTACTTTGTTTCTGTAAACTGTAATTTACAGGGTTAAAATTATTTGTACCTGAAAGGCTGTTCGTAAAAGCAACATAGTAATGAGCTTCGCGAGTCATGTCATATTTATTATTAAATATTTGACAGCTTTACTATTAAATATTTTACAACAAATTTGTCGTGTTACTTGACAATAAATTCTTTGTAATGTTCACTTATATTTGATATTTCACCAGACAAGTTTTGAAATTCATATTAACTGCATATCGATATGCAAGGGTTCTAATCATATCTCGGCTCGTGATCAATCTATTAATAGAGTCCATGTTATTCATTTCTAAGTTAGTGAGAGAATTATTTTTTTTAAGGGTCGGGAAGAGATTCAATTACGGAGTTAGAAATTTGCAAAAGTACGTGCGGAGTATTCTAATTTTATTGCAACGGAGCTCACCATGGTAGCAAAAATTTGTAGGAGTGCAAATTAAAGCATTTTAATTTTGTAAGAAAGGCACAGGCCAAGTCTATGCATAATAAACAAAAAAGTTAAATATATTTTAGTATTTTTTTCTGATATTTGTCCGAGCCAGTAGTTCTAGATTAATCTAGACTAATCTTATGGGATAATTATCTAATCCTACAACATTTGATATCGGAAACACATAGGAATTATTAATTCTTAAATTAGATGATCATGATTTGAACTCATTTTTCCTTAATATATTTTTCATGTATAATTATCCTAACTTAAAAATATGTTACTCCCTTTTAATATACTTTTCACGTATAACATAATTTTCATGTATAATTATGCTGCCTAAAATTTTGTATGGTAAAATCATAATAACTAAAATCAATCATTCGGTAGTTATTAGTTGCTCCAACGGTGATTTGGGGCAATAGAATACTCTAAATTAGGGGCTTCACAAATTCTCTAGTTACATTACAAATATCTTGTGTCTCTTACCACGAAGGTGTCTTGGCTGAATGTTTTAGGTATGTAAAACAAAACATTTTAATCCTTCATGGCGATTATTCTAGGTCCAAAAAGTAGTTATATTTGTAAATATGATAAATGTTAGGTATAAATTTTTTAATAATAATTTATTTATACATGGTTTGTTTTGTTTTGTTTTTGAGACAAACTAAACAAATCAGAGAAACCAGAAATTGCAAACACAATTTATTTGTACACGTTTATAATTTGAATTTTATTTTTTTGGTTCAAAGGATTTCAATAGGTCTAATATTTATGTTCAATTTGGCACTTGATTTTTCTTTTTCCATTAATTTGGATTTAGTTTACTTACTAATGATTGAGTTCAAACGGAGTACTAGCTAGTTTAGTTAGTTTTTGGGGATTAAAATGAAAGGTACTAGTTATTGAGTTGAAAATTTAATTATTTACTCGTATCTTTTTTTATTTTTGATTTAGTATTTTTTTAAAGTTGAACGGGTAGTTTTAGAAATAATGTATAAGTTAATAATTGCAATTTTTCTAGGACGTTGATTTTTCATCTTGAGATGGGACCCTGTAGGCTGTAGGGACTCGTCTAAATGTTTAGATTCTCCGCAGGTAGGAATGGAGACGTTTTCTTGGCTGCGTCCCTACCTTATTTAATTCGATGTCATAGAAAATTTCACAAAGATAGGGTAGAGATTTGGGATCGATTCTCTCATCAAAACTATTCCCTATTCTTCATTTACATGAATAAATCCTCTTTATTTAAAGAAAATTTTCTTAAGTCACATATTTATTACAAAGTATTGAAATGTATGAATAAATTCTCTTTATTTAAAGAAAATTTTCTTAAGTCACATATTTATTACAAAGTATTGAAATGTAAGTATATCACAAGAAGTTCGTGAGTACAATTTTTCAACAATAATTTGAAATGAGATGGGGTGAGACTGCGACCCCAATTTCACTATTTGCCAGTACATTGGTGATAAATAAATACTTGAATTTGATTATTTCCTCTAGAAGAAACCGTTTGGTCAAATAGGGAGTTAATAATAATTTTTCTTTTATTTAAGTTTAAAACAATAATAAAAGTATGGAATTCCAATTATTTAAGTTATTACACCCCACTGTCCAGTCAGACAATCTAAAAATATAAAATTATTAAACAAAATGAGAAATATGGTGTTGTGATCGTGGAGGATAGGTGAGCGGTGCACGTGTGATCTTCTCAAATTTTTAGGAGTGCGTTTCAAAAATATATTCTCAATTTTATATTCTCAAATTGTTTTAAGGCTGAGTTTGGAAAATATTGGATGAAAATTCATACCCAGTGTTTATTGTATCTATTCATTTATTTTGTAAAAAAACTTAGGCTCGTCAAGTTAACGTGAATCGATAAATATTTGATAACTCATTATTTTTCGTATATTTTTTATTTTTACATTTCTCTATTAAAAAATAAATGGAAACAAAAACTTCTTTCAACTGCTAAATTAGGTTTATAGTGCCTGCAATATTTATATATTATTTTTTAGAGAGGATGAATTTAACATTCAAGACTCTCTAAATTTTTATGTTGGTATTTAAACATAACCACGAGGGAAAGAGACGAGATCTATAGTAATTTTCAAGTGGACTATATAATATTCTACAAATGAAATAAATTAATAAATAAAACTAACATTTTTTTAATAATTTTTCTTAAGTACAAAGTTTTAAATAATTACAGATTAAATTGAAGAATATCATACCAATCTATATACATAACATAATTAAAATAGACCGGATCAAAATGGACAGAATGATGGAAAAAGTGTACAGGGAAGGGAAAAGTAATATAAAGTACTTTGCAAAAAAAAAAAAAAAACAATTTAGTAAAACTTCCATTTATGTTATTTCTTTTCTTAATTTGTAAAAATATGGTCACACTAATTTCTGAAATAAGATCGATCCAACTATTCTGGCAAAGACGCCGTAGGGATGAGAGCTGAATTTTTGGTTTACATCAAACGGATGATTGTTGAAGACCATTTCGGGCGCTTTGACTCTTGATGAGGTACGCAGCTGGATTTTCTCCCTCCTTTTTCTCAGGTTGCTGAATTGTTTATAAGCTTCAGTGGTTGCGAGCTGCAAGTAATTTCTCTCCAGGTATCGAGCGAAGAAAATGTTTATGTATTTCAATACAATTTCAAATGTGTTCTTGCATTACAGATTTTTAATTTTTCCTGCTAGAAAATCGCTTTCGTTAAGAGTAATGAGCTGAATTGGAATGCAACCCTTAGGCACCTGTGTAGCATAAGTATTCTCTTAGATACTGGCTTCATCAAGTACTGGTTGCATTTAATTTTCCTGCTAGATCACATTCATTAAGAGTTAAGAGCAATGAGCTAAATTAGAATGCATTTTTGAAGCCATGGCACATAGCATAAGTTATCGTAGACACGGCTTCATAAAGCACTGGTTTCATTACAGATTTAATTGCTTTATTTAGGAGTAATAAGCTGAACTTAGAATGCCAATTTGAAACCATGGAGCATAGCATAAGTTTTCTCTTAGATACTGCTCAAGCACTGGTTTCATTAATTGGCATTTCGATGTTTTATTCTGTCGGGAAAGAGATTACCTCTCACAACTAACAGCTGTAAATGAAGAACCTGCCTAGAGGGTTGTGTGAAATATCATGGTAGAAAAAGGGGGGGAATTAATTTAGCGGTTTATGGATGTTTACAACGAGGTTATCCTTTTAGAAGTTGTCATGCTGAAATTCTAGCTGCATTCTATCAATTCATCTTGTGTATTTTTCTTTTCGAATGTGACTCTTATGGAGATTATGGTTTGAAAGAAAAAAAAAAAGAATATTTCAAGGGAGTATGCTAACCTGGATGGTTTTTTGGATCTAACTAGACTTTTTTGCTTCTTCTTGGTGTTCCATCTCTAAAGTATTTTTTTTTTTTTTTTTTTTTTAATTTTATAATTATGGCTTGACACAAATATTTGCCAATTGGGAGTCCTTTTTGTAATCTCTTTGGTGTTGTGGGGATATCTCATCTTCCATTTTTTTTGTCCTTCCTCTCTTGATAAGGAAATAGTTGTTTCTTATTTAAAAAAAAAGTAACTAGCAATAACAATTTCTTGAATCATGAGATCATGCAAAAAGTGAAAGTGTATGTTGAGTCTACTTTAGGATTTGGGCGTGAGGTTTTGCTCTCTCCTTTTTTTTTTCCTCACTAAGTTATTTTCTGTATTCATGAAATATTGGAGTTCTGCTTATTAAATAGCAATTCATTTGTATGGTTATTAATGCCATTGAATTTTGTAGACTATTTCATGCAGGGCATCGTTATAACATTCGGTAAGAATGCTTTACTAGTGCCTCTTTCTGGTGTGTCTGTTAGTGGATAGGACTCTGAATGTATATTGCTTATATCTATTACTGATTTTCAAGAAAGAAGAAACTGTTCACATTTGTGCTGATTCAAATATAGGTTTATTCTGTTTTGCATTCACGACAAACTGTTGACCGAGACTTGATTTGTATGTTTCTTAGTGGCAATTGGTCATGATTTTCTTTAAATAACTAATTAATCCTCTTGATTGTATTATACTGGCAAGTTGTACTCCTTTGGAGTAAATGCCATAGCTATTTTTGTTGATTTATTATGTTCTATTTTGATATAGTGCTTTTCTGATGCAAAGTCAATAACCTCACATACATTTGGGGTAGCAGAGTTAATAATGAATTTTGTGCTGAAGATAGTAGATGCATTTTGATATCTGTTCCAGAAGCACTGAATAACCTACTCCCTAAGCTAATTTGGTTCAAATAAATCCATCTGCAGTACTATGTGCAAGTAGAACTCTGAAAGGTCGCCGGCAGTGATGTGGTCTTCGGTATTGCACCAGCACATCAGATGTTATATTATTTTGGGTTGTCTATGCATATCTGTCCTCTGCCTCAATTCACTTCAGTATGAAAGTGGAGATGTTTTTTCAAACAATTGGATGCATGAATTTCGGCTGGTAACAGGCAATGGCTCTCAGAACGTTAGTCCATTCCTTTTTTCCTCTGTGAACCATTCTGTATCATGCGAGGACCTGGGTGGTGTAGGATCGTTTAGCACAACCTGCCTGTTAAACACAAACTTGTCTTTAGATTCTGATTTCCACATATCTGGAACGGGGAACTTAGAGATACTTCCTCATGTTTTGATTTGCTGCCCCATAGAAGGTTGTACGATTACTCTTAATATGTCTGGCAACATCAAAGTCAGTCACCATGCAGCTGTTGTTGCTGGTTCGGTGGTTTTTTCTGCTGCTAATGTGATGCTGGAATACAATTCTTACATAAATACCACCGCCCTTGGTGGAGCACCTCCTTCTCAAACTAGTGGCACACCAGTTGGTTATGATGGATCTGGTGGAGGTCATGGTGGCCGAGGGGCCTCCTGTTTGAAAAGTAATCAGGCAAGCAATTGGGGTGGTGATGTCTATGCTTGGTCTACATTGTCCGAACCATGGAGTTACGGGAGCAAGGGTGGTGGGATATCGGAGGAAAAACCATATGGAGGGCATGGTGGAGGACGTGTGAATCTTCTAGTAGTGGATGTATTATATTTAAATGGTTCTATCCTTGCAGAAGGCGGAAATGGAGGGTCAAGAGGTGGAGGTGGATCTGGTGGAAGTATCTTTGTGCATGCAGTAAAGTTGTGAGTTCAATTCATGCTTATGGACTAGTCTAGACTTGTTTAGTGCTTTCTCTTTAAAGTCATGATGTATACCTTTTTGCTTATCTAATTTGAAACCCGTGTAAGATTAACTGTTGAGTTTGTTTGTACGTTATGATTGAAGCATTTTGTTGTTTATTGGCCAATTAAGAGCAGAGATTCACTTTTGCATGTTTATTGCTAACTATACAACGTGAAATTTTAATAAAGACATCTGGTACTATTCATACAGTAGAGATATAATTATAAGTTGTAACAAACGAGGTTTTTTTTTCTAATAAAAACAGGACTGATGATGATTGATGGCATTGCAATTATAATTTAGAACTGTCTAATGATTGAACCATTCTTTTGCAGTTTTATATATATTAATGTTGCCTAAACTCAATTACAAGATCTTCAAATCTTTACAAATAAATTGACTTATGCTCATCAGGTCAAAGAATGAATCTCTTATCCATCTTATTTTGATCCATCCCGTGTGGAGTAGTACCTCCGTTAAGCAGGATCCAGCAGTTGACCTGTTAAGAGAAGAATAGTATTGAAACTGTAAAGTTTTGTTCAAGTAATTAGTTATGTTGTGAAAACTCTGAATGATCTACTGTAATAATTTTTTATATTTGGAATAATCTGTGATAGCATTGTGTAGATCTTTTGCAGGGACATGTGACACATCGTGATGACCTGCTTAGCATTTTAGGTTTGAGCCAAAGATAAAGATCAACGTTATTGAACGAATGAGTGTGACATATAGTTACATGCTGATAGAATTCTATATCATTTGGAAGGTTTTAGGCATTGTGTCTGATGTTGGCCTGTGTTCAAAACCTTATACTTTCTGGATTCTTCCGTCATTCTTTATTAGGTTCTGTCAGAACCATAGACTTCTCTGGAAGTATGGAACATATTGAAAATTCCAACCCCCTGGACTTCTTTAATTGTTGACTGGATAAGACATTAAAGACAAAGTACCATTGGGTAGAACTTTTTGAAAATGAATAACTGAAAGCACATTGATTATTATTTCATTATTGTCCATAATTTTTTGATTTACTGTTATTTCTTCCAAATTTCCTCTCATTTCTTTCAACCTGATGAGATATTAAGGGAGGGGAGTCTCAATATATTGCCTAAAGCCTTGTGTCTACTTTTCTTAGGTGGATGATCTCTAAACCATGGAGTCCTGGAATTTTCTCTGTAACTACTTTTGTTTTTGATTTAATATATTATGGTGTTACTGATCCCACCTAATAAGAAATAGAGAAAAAAAAAACACAACAATGCTGAAGGCGTAGTCCCCAGTTTTATTCATGCTTTTAATGTCGGAATAGATCCATCTCAAGTTTTATCTATTTTATAGCTAAAATATGCAGTTGGTGTCCCCAATTTACTTCCTTTACAATAAAAAAGGTTATGAATTTGTACAATCATGTATCTATTGTATTACAAAACAAGCAGATGACCTGATGAGTAATATGTTAATAAATTACCATCTACGGTAAGAGTCAGAATTTTGATTCAATTCTACACAAGTTATTGTGGTACAGGTTAGATCCTGCTTGAACTTATGGGTCTGGTAGTCAGGCAGATAGCAATTATAACTAACAAATTTACAAACTATTCTATGATTACAAGCAGCTTGGGATGATGTTCTATTCGTCTGTTTCTTATTATAAAAAAAACAGATCTCTTATTGTAGGATGCAATAGTTTCACCAATGAATGATGCTTCTGTTGTCTTCTTCATATCCCTTTTTGTTAAATGTTGGCTATGTTACAAAGATCATATGCTGTTGGTTGTTTCATCTATTACTAATACTTGGTTTTCTATTTTATTACCTAGAAAGGGGAATGGAACTATATCTGCTGCAGGAGGGAAGGGATGGGGTGGAGGTGGTGGGGGAAGAATTTCTCTGGATTGTTATAGCATTCAAGAAGATATTAAAGTTACCGTACATGGTTTGTACTTTGCAGCAATGAAATATTCTATATAATCATATAATGATCAATATTCTTTTATATTACATGATATCAATAGTTTATCGGAAGCAAAAGTTATTAATGGTTTTTATTTTTATGTATGATATTTATAGAACTGGGTTTTTTTTTTTTTTTCATATGCTATATCCTTTGACAACAAATTTTTTAAATTGGTCAAGTGAGGGGACTTAGTAAAATTTAAAGCTTCATTTTGGTTTTCACTGTCTTCTTTATTTTGTGGTTGTTCAATGTGAAATATTTATAAGAATTTGGGGGGCGTTTATAATTTTCTTGTATCAAGAGAGGTAGTTGATAACCTCACAGAGCATCAGGATTATTTCTTGTATTATGACTAAGAGACATTGGCATACTTCTAAGGGAGTATCGTACTTTGTAACTTGTCACTATTTTAATGAAAAAATCTGTTTATTTTTTCAAAAAATGTTGATAGAGTTGGGGAGCCGTCAATCAAATTCACATATTCTAGAAGGAAGCCTAAAGGCACCTGACGTGTATAGTTAGTTTATATGTGGGGCTATGGAATCTCTTGTAAGTTAGGAAATGGCGAAGAACCTTTTGGATGGAGGTCGAAGCCCTCTAAGAACTCTTCCATAGGTAGACCGTGGATTGATATCCAAAGAACATCTTTGGATTTTTGTAAGTTCTCCTTTTTCAAAGTGGARTCGGGGGAAACAGTGAGATTTTGGGAAGACCCTTGGATCGATTCTTCTCCTCTGGCAGTTTCTTTTCCTGACTTGTACAGTATCTCCACCAAGAAAGAGAAGTCTATTGCTGATTGCTGGATTACAGAGGCCATGACATGGGATGTGGGCATGAGAAGGAACCTTTTTGATAGAGAAATGGAGAGATGGGCAGTTTTCACTAGCAAGCTTGAAGGAGTGGTTATTGGCCAAGGTAGAGATTCACTCGGGTGGAAGGCAGATAGCAGAGGCACCTTTACAGTAAAATCTGCTTTTCTAGCCATCTCTTCCCCCTCCCCTAAGTTGAATTCTGCCACTGCATCTTTTATTTGGAATTTCAAGGTTCCTAAAAAGGTGAAGGTCTTCCTTTGGACTCTCTTCTATAGGGGAACTAATACTGCTGATAAAATCCAAAGAAAGCTTCCTCATTGGACCCTTTCTCCTTCAGTTTGTACTATGTGCATTAATAGCGCGGAAACAGTGGATCATCTCTTCCTTCATTGTGCTYTTGCTACTAAGGCGTGGAACTACTTAGCTTCTCTCTTTGACCTCGCTATCAGTGTTCCTAGGAAGATTGACGATTTTGTAGCGGAAGGTTTTGGAGGCTTCAGACTCAAAGGAAAAGTGTATGTTCTTTGGAATTGTGCAGCTAGAGCTCTTCTGTGGTTGCTTTGGAAGGAACAAAACCATAGACTTTTTGAAGAGAAAGAGGCCTCTTTGGACTCTTTTAGTGTGAATATTAAGCATATAGCTTCTTGGTGGGCTTCGACTCATAAGAAGGTTTTTTGTAACTATGGTTTCTTATTGATTTATCAAAGTTGGAACTCCTTGATTGTATAGTTTCTTCGGGGAGGGTCCCCTCGACCCTCTGCCTCTAGGCTGTTCTGTTTGCCTTCGGGCTTCTTTTGATCTTGAATACAAGACTCTTTGTTTCTTATAAAAAAAAAGAGTGAGTTAGTTATTATATTGTATGATGAGGTAAGCGAGAGAGATCATCACAGAATGCTTCTCTGCAGTAGGGAGAATTCTTAGGCCTCTCAAACAGTATTTAGTCTGTCCTTTTCATTTTGATTTTGGCAATAATAAAGTAAGTTTTTCTCTCTCTATATATCATTGGTCTAACGGGAGAAAGAAACAAAATGTTAAAAAAAAATACAAACTCTAAAAAGGAGTAAAAAGGCTACTCTTTGGCTTGAACAATTTTTGTGTTGCACCCTTTCAAGAAAGATAAGGCTACTCTTTGGAATAACATCAATCGGGCTTTCATTTGGATCATTTGGAAAGAAATAAATCCAGGATTTTGGATCATTTGGAAAGAAAGAAATCCAGGATTTTCGAGGATTCCGACCATCCGCCCCAACAAATGATAGACTCTATTATCTTTTTGGCTTTATCTTGGTGCAAAAGTGTAAATCCTTTTAAGAGTTATGATTTAAGTTATCTCATATCCAATTGGAGAAGTTTTCTGTAACTTCATTGGATAGGGTTTTTTGTATATTTCATATTATCAGTGAAATTTATTTCCTATCC